GCCTGGACAGTCTGCTGCTATCGGATTGGGCAGCTTCTGCTGGTTTTATTTCCTGGAGTTCAGGCAGAGAGGGAGCGGTTTTTCTCCTGCATGGAGGAGAGCAGAGACATGTTCCATACCCTGCTGGCTGACAGCTGCCTAAAATCCCGAGATTAAACACTGATTTCTCCATAGAAATGGAGTCCTGGGGCAGCAAAGCCAGGCTCTGCAAGGGTGCACTTTTAAGTCTCGAATTCCATAAACAGACCAGGCATACTGTTCACACCCCTGTGCTGTCCCCAAAGTCCTGCAGAGCCTACTGTGGCAGAAGCAGGTGGGGACTCCGGTGGCAGCTATAAATTATGTGTGTGCCTGTGTGTTCTGCACTGGAGTAGAGTTCACACCAGGACTGGCTTTCCAAATGCTGATGCCTGGGTTAAAATGCAGAGAGACCACTCTGAGTCCAGGTACCAGAGGTTAACAGCAGCTAATACATTTATTAACCCTCTGGTGCCAGAGACCAGTGAGGTCTGGCCTTTCAGTCACAGAGACCTGGAAATTCTATTATGGGACATGCCTGGACTTGTTGATTACCACCAGGGGCAGTTTTGAAACAGCTGCGGAGGGGACAAGGCTTATGGAGTCTCTAAAGGGCAAGTTTCTGTGGTTCTCCAGAATGTAGGCAAGGCTTTTGCAGCATGCTCTTGCCCTTTTTAATCCTTGAGATGAAATCCTCGTGGCACTGTGTCTTGGTGGTGACATTTCACACAAAGCAGAGTCAGAGGCTTTGCTCGAGCCACAGAACCAGAAACTAACTGATAGGAAACACTTAAAGACATTAAATAATCCACATTTTCAACCTACTGTAATAGTGGTTCGAATTAACTATTAGAAAAAAACAGAATAGATGGTCTGTTTTCTCTGTTCTTTTCATTTTAAAAGTCATATTCTACTTTTCAGCCAGTGACTGTTAGGGACAGTGTCCATGTAGGCGTGGACTGGCTGAAGTTCTCAGTCAGGTGTCTGTATGTCCCTACCGTGTGCCAGGGGGCCCCAGCAGGGCTCACACCCTGTGCCAGCGCATCTTTATGGAGCTGTTGGCTTTACCAGTTTGCATTTGGGTAATGAGAGCTGGCTTTCCACTTTGGGGCTTAGTTAACTCTCTACAGAGTCTCAGAAGTTGTGTGTGTAGGGAGGATGGGTTTTAGTTTCGTCAATTCCATATCAGTTTTCGGCAAGCAGAACAATACTTAAGTATGTAAGTTCTTTGGCTGAAGGGGGGGTGTCCTGTAGTTTTACGTTTGACTTTATCATAACTGACTAGCAAGCCTGGTTGCTTATTGATGTTTTCATAAACACCCAGAATGAAAATCTTCGAAACAGAAATAACAGGTTTTGTGGGCTTCTTATAGACACAGGTTTTCTTTAGGACAGTGGTATGTTTCCAATCCTCCTTGGTCACTGGGATTCGTGCTGTGTACAAGACTCCTGAGCGTGAATCCAGGCAGTGTACACAGCCCCTCTACTCACTGACCACATGTGGTATGGATATTAGACAAAGCAGACTTTGTCTGCAGTTAATTCCAGGGTAGCCATGGGCCCTGTGGCCTGCAACTCATCAGGTAAGGGGCTTAGCCCCACCTCCCATCTGTGTGCAGTCCTTTGATTTTATCCTTCGAGTATCACCGCCTACTCTTTCTCCTTAGTGGCACACACCTTGCAGTGTCTCCTGCTAGGTTTGGGCAGATCCTGCAAGGCCTCTGTGTTTACCCTACTTGGCAGTCATGGCGATAAACTCCGGCATCAGATGGCTCTGCAGGAAGCTTGCTAAGTGCTTTTTGGAAGCAGGGTTTAGAGAACTGCCTTGGCCTGTGGACAGCCAAGCCTCTGAGAGCCGTGCCTGGGAAGGCTACCACATCCTCACTTGGACTCAGCATTCTATTGTAGTTATGTTCACCGGGATTACCCTCCAGCTACAAGATAACTGTTAGAAGTCCATAGCATGCTGCTTTGGGGAACAGAAGCCCAGAGATGACAGACTTGAGTCTGTTCTAAATGCATTTCCCTGTGCCAGTAAGTGATCACTGCAGACGCTCTGTGAATGAAGACAGAGCTGGGCAGTTTAGATGCGGGCACATTGACCTGTCGGAGAGCTTAGAAGCATCTTATTTAGTGTGAGGCCCTCAGTGATGGGCACAGAAGTCTACCCATGTGCATGGAAGCCCAGTAGAATGCCTGGCAAGACAGCAGTTTAAGGCTGCCCCAGGTTAAGGCTGCCCCAGGTTCCACAAGGGCGGGTTTGTGGGTGCCAGTCAGGCGATGGGGAGGGCCACTGTGGCCCGCTCAGGCGCTACTTTGCAGTGACCACACTACAGAAACAGTATGGGGCCACACTCCTCACAGTCCAGGGGTCCTACTGTTTCCCTCAAACCATCAGTGGATGGATTAGCTGCACAGAGTCCTTCAGTGAGGATCTTTGTCTTTTGTATCTTATGGCCAATAAAGAATGGTTGGAATGGGATGTTTTAGGACCATTTGGGTGCCTGGGCACAATTCCAGTCTTGACATCCTACACAATATTCTCTGTAGGTAGCAGAGCAGTGACTCAGACCTGCTGTTACTATGGATTAAAAGGAGACTTTCGAGTAAGTTCAATTCTGCTTGAATTTCCCCTCTGATCTTCTTATACATAACATTTAGTGACCTTTGAACAGCCCGGGATGCTTCACAGTGTCTTGTTCTTGAAGCTTGCTTAAAGGTTTCTATTTCATATTCGCGGCTGGCATATGCAAATATAGGTAAAGATTATGATGCCTTCCCAGTGGCATTATGGTCAACAAATCACTCCTTGTGCGAGCATGCTGTCGTTTTAGCCTTGTGTGTCTTCAGTGAGCCTCAGAGGCTCACAGCACACAGGCAGCCGTTTAGCAGCCCGCCCCCAGAGCTGGTGGGTAGCTCAGGTATTCCTTGACTCAAAGGTGATTGTGTATCAGTGTTTGCCTTCTTCATGGACAAGCTCTTCGCTGGTGCCAAAGGCTGCTGTCGGTAGGGCTGAGGGTGGGTACTATAGGAAGAGTTCCTTGTGTAAATTGGGGGAAGACAGAGACTGAAACAGGTCTGTGTGTGATCCAGGAAAAAGTGTGTTTTCATAGAATTGAAGAGTCCTGTATAGTCCTAATTAGTCCTAATTAAATAAAAACCCAGAGTCAGAAATCTGGGTAAAGGCTGAAAGATCAGAGAAGCCAGCCACTAGAGAGACTTCTCACAGCTATTGAATCCTCAAACCAAATGGATGATCGTATCTATGCAAACTCTCAGGCTGAATGCCATGAGCTCCTCCTGTCCCCCCTCCACCCTAAGCTCCTCTCTTCGCTGCCCTGGTGCTGGGATTAAAGGTGTGAGCCTCCACAACTCGGTTCCTTTCTCTTTTAGACTGATTCAATCTTGTGTAGCCCAGGGCGACTTTGCCCTCCTGATCTTTCTGCTTCATCCTCCCAAATGCTAGGATTAAAGGTGTGTACCACCACTGCCCAGTCTCTATAGTACACGAGTGGCTAGCTTCACCCTTTGGTCTCCAGGCAAGCTCTATTTGTCAAAAACAAACTAAGCATCATATAACAGTCCTGGTTGCATTCTGTCTCTCCAAGCATCTTGCTGTATGATGAGTCATTTAACATCTCTGGGTTTAAGTTGCTGGTGTTTATAAAATGAATTTGTACTAAGTGGGTAAATTTCATGACCTGTTCCTTGCCATTGTTTGAGTGATGGAGATGTCCCTTCCACTGAGTCCTCAAGCACAAGCCCAATGGTGGAATTGGTCCAGTTAAGGGGTAAAGAGAGATTAAGGCCTTCACTGCTCAGCCCACTCACTAGCAATTACCTTGGAGACAGTTTCTGAGTTTCTGTGTTGGGGTCTGTCTTGGTTACTACTCTGGCTGTAAAGAGACAGCATGACCAAAGCAGCAAAGGAAGTTATTTGATTGGGGCCTTGCTTATAATTTCAGAAAGTTAAGTTAGTTCTTGATCATGATGGCGGGGAGCATGGTGGCATGCAGGAAGGCAGATGGCAGTGGAGCTGGAAGCTTTACATCCTGATCCTGGTCCACACACAGGAGGCCAAGGAGGAGGGGAGGAGGGAGGGAGCTGAGGAGAGGTGTTTGGTCTAGCATGGGCTTTTGAAATCTCAGAGCCCACCCCTACTGTCATACCTTCTCATCCTTCCTAAGTAGTTCACCCTCAGGGAACCAAAACCTGAGCCTGTGGGGGCCGCCCTCACTCAGACCACCACAGGGTCTGTAGTGCTAGGTGAGTCCTGCAGACCATCCATCTGAGAGTTCCTGCAGAGGTGCTTTGAAGCCCAACCATGGAATTGTTTGCCAGGAAACAGGTAGCCCCATGAACTCGGCTTAAGGCCTGAATTCTTTCAGCTCCCTTCCAGGCCCAGCCTTGGGAAACATCAAGAGCCTGGAGCCTGGGGCAGGAGCTGGAAAATAAGCAAAGCAACAGGAGACTGTTAGCAGTATGTGGGCGTGTGTGTTCCCGCGTTTTAAAGTAAAAGCCCTTTCCCCAAATTAGCACCCAGAAAGATAAATGAGATACCACTTCAAAACTCTCTCTCCTGCATCCTGATCCTGCCTGTGCCGGTCCTACGGCAGACACAGTGACAGGTAGCTGCTGGGCTCTGAAATAGGGCAGCCCTGAGCAGAGGCACGCAGGGTCAGCCACTGAATTCTGAAGACCCGGGAAGAAAGAATGCCAACTATCTCATTAATTTTTTTATATTGATTCCATGTTCAAATGATAATACAGTTGGTTAAATAAAATATATAATTAAAATTAACCTTACTTGCTACCTCTTTATTAGACAGCCACTTGGATGTTGTAAATTACAGATGGGGCTCACAGTTGTAGCTCCTATATTTATCATTCAGCCCTGCCCTAGACTGTTGATTAATGGATCATAATTAATTACTCTTCCCTATTATGTCTGAGTGCTTTTTTCCCCTTTTGTCTCTTTCCAGGCACAGAAGCTGAAATCCAATGTGTCGGGCAGTACACATCTCTGTCTTAGTGATGTAAGTGATATTTCCTTTTGTGTTTCTTCTCTTTTAGGGACATAGACTTCTGTACTGGGTAGATAATATGTAATATTTGAAGATCAGTAAGGTCTTGGATTCAGAAAAGATCTCATCACCCTCTGTAATGACCTGACTTTGGAGCAAGGTGTAGAATTAGAGTTTCGTGCAAAGTTAGAACTAAACGTACAACTTGTGATCCCCACCAGAAAACCAGCCTTAGCGCTAAATCCACTGTTCCGTGTTGAGAGATGCCTGCGGTTAGTCACCAGGAATCACTATGCCTGCTGGCTCAAGGATCCTGACCTGCAGCTCCTCTGGACCCTCTACCTAGGAGATAGCTAGGTGTATTGTGTGCCCTCTTTCTCTGCTGTGAGGGGATATAGCGTCACGGCCCTCTGCATCTGTGATGGCACAGTGGAGGTGAACACCGTAGAGAGAGAGCTGTGCTGGCCAGACAGAACAGTGCAGGTTAGAGCTCCACAAGATTGTGGCCCTGTGGAGCTCCTCTTGTGGGGTTAGTTAGGGATTCTGGTTGTCTCTGGCATTCATAGTGAACCTTCTGTCTCTCCATGAGCCACACATTCCCAGATGGTTCTTCCTGTCTTCCTTGCTCCCTGGAGAGAATCGGCAAGAAGCCCCCTCCCCAATAAGGAGGCCACAGCTGTGGTCTAGAAAGAGAAAGGCAGCGCTCCTTTCCCTCCCGCCCCGGCCAACTAGACATTTTCCACCAAAAAGGATGTGTGAAGGAGTGGGCAGAAAGCAGCAGGTCCCCGCTTGATCCAAAGGACCCATATCTTACCTAAGTTCACGGTCCCATCTCCTAAAATTAAAAGTTAGCCACTTGGATCTCAGTGGTAAAATCTCAGGGCAGCTTTTTGTGATTGTCTGCCATTAGGGAAAGGGAAAGTGGGGTAGAGAGCCTGGGTGAAATATAACATGAGGGAGTGGGTACATGCTGCGGATGATAATGAAACATTCTTTCTTACAGCCTGATTACGAAACGGATGGTCTCGCTGGTGCCTCCAGCCGCATAAACTCAAATTCAAGGTCTGCTGCTCCCAGGTGTGGCCTGAGCTCACTGCCGGTTCTGGTGGTCACCACTCTCGTCTCCCTGTTATCTGTATCCTTGACAGAAACATTGTAGCTGTGTTCAGAAAAGACGGAAAGACAAGCGAGAGAAAAGAACAAGCAAACAAAACCAATCCTCCTGTTTCCTGTCCACTTGTATATCTGAAAATCCAGTTTTAAAAGCTCGGCTGAGAAACGGTTTCGTCCAACTGGAACTCTTCGGTTGTTTTTAAGGAAGCGTCTCGGGACCCCGAGGGGCTTCCGTGGAAGAACCACTGCAGGGCTAATTCCAGACTCAGAAGGCTCTGTGGCACGGTGTGGGCTAAGGGGACCATTTGTAAACTGAATGTAAAGCAAGCTTGAGGCTGTGTTTTTGATGGTGGTGGTGATGGTGGTGATGGTGGCGATGGTTTTAACAGCTTAAAGTCTGCTCTCTCTACTGGCTGGAACGGGAGATGCTGTTGACAAAGACTCTTCCCTGTCTTGTTCCATAGCTTTGAGCTGTATTGGCATGACTGCTGCCTGATGCGGGTGACAAGAGGAGGTTGGCCTCAAGAGTGGACTTTTTGGACTCCGTCTTGTACTAAAAATGTCCACCTTTCTATGTATGTCCTGCACACAGTGTTTATGTACCTACCGACATTTCTGTGACCCTCAACAAAACAAAAAACCCTGGTCACGTTGAAATGTAGAACCTGTCATTCAGCCCAGTAGAGGAGAGCGGCTGCGGGCCTCACACAGTGCTGGGATTGCTGACTGACCCTCTCCTGATCTTTGCCTGAGTGAGAAGCCCTTGAACAGGAGCCGGCTACGGCTGAAGTGCAACTCTTAATGCTTTTTACACCTACGACATCACACGTAGAAAAGGTGTTGCTTTACTATTCAGTGGTTCCAACTACGGGCTTTCTACGTTTTGAAAGTAACGATACTGTCCTTATTTTTTACTGATAGTTTAATACAGACACATGCAGTGTGTTTTCCTCTCATAATTAGTACCAGCCCCAGTATTGACTTCAGCGATAACAACTCTCGGAAGCAACCCCCGGGAGCCCCCCATGCTTTAGCTGAGACTGCATCACATTACTGTGGACAGGCAGGAGAAAACAGAGCAGCCAGCCCCTGTCTACATGGAAGGAACAGGTCGATTCTTGTAAAGGGTGCCACGGTTTGGTGGCACGACTGTCAGTTGGCACAGCCCCGGTACCTTGGCTTTCATGTTACCTGACAAGGGCAGCTTTGATTACGACTGGGCATAGGGGACACGATGGAGATGTACTGTGTTCTGCCAGGGTGCGCAGGAGTACCTGTGCTCCTGGCTGCAGTGTCGTGGCCACCCTTTAGAGTAGTTTGGTTTCGAGGTCACCAGGCATCTGCTCTATCTATGGCCTTTATCACAGACTGTGCCCCTGCAGAAAGGAATGGTATGGTGGTTTGTGGATCTTGAGGGCTAACATGGGGTCCGGAAAGGTGAATTGGTTGTCAAAAATACACAGAGCAGGATTGAACTGTCTTGGTGGGACATCTGGCTTACACAGCCCACACCTCCTCCTGAGTCTCTTCCTCACCTGAGCAGACCCTTGGGTGTATATCTAAGCCCTGTTTTAGGTGGTCAGGTTCAGAATCTTCAGTTGATTGCCTACTGACAACCATGTTTCCCCAAAAGTGAGTAAAAGAAAGAAATTATTCCTCCATGGAGCCCTGTAAGTATGATATTGCTTCCCACCTTCAGAGAGACAGAGGTGGGAGCCCTGGGGTACACTTTCTGCTGATACCTGCCCCCTCTGCTCCATGAGATTTGCCTTGGACGGTAACAGTCCACCTGGGAAAGGGGGAAGAAGTCTGAAAGTCAAGAGATGGACCTGGTTTTCAGCTCTTTTGGTGTCTGGGTACATCTATATCCAAATGCTAATGAATACCAGTGTAAAATACTTGGTAGCAGCATTTTTTTTATGTCAAAATGTTTCATGGGGAACGCGTCCAGCATCCATGTATGCCTGATCAGTGGGAAGTTCCGTGAAGACTCATACGTACAGCAAATAAACACCTTGAGTGTGTCAAAAGCATTTAGGATGCCAGTCATGTATGGAAGCGTATCTCTTATGGAGCATATTTTGTTTTAATTAAGGTATCTCCATGTATCTACACTGGACTAATTACGTGTGGGTCTGACTGGGTGTGATCCACCTTAGGAAGCTATCGATTGGCCCTGCAGTCTACTGCAGCTCTAATTAGCTTCAGAGGACCACAGAGGAAACAGGAGCCCTGTGCTAACAAGGGCAGCCTTCAACGAAGGACTCATAGTTATGCAACATGCAAATCAAACTTGGAAAAGCTCTCGCCAACAAAAACCTGATTTTCTTTCAGAAGTGAAAACATACGAGTGCTACCAAATCCTCAGTTTGAAAACAAATAGCAGAGGAGTTAAACAGTGGGCGGGGCCTCTCTTCGGGACAGCGTGGTAGGGAGACTTAGAAAACCAGCTCAAGTCCAGGGGGCTTGTCATTCCAGATCTCAGCCTGACACGTGAGCTTGACAGAGATTTGTTTGGAGAGTGGCGCGGGAAACATGGCCGTCTTCTGCGCACCTGACGTCATTCTGGAGCCCTGATGAGCAATTCGCCACTTCCTGTCCCTCTGCTTTCCCTTTGCACAGACCCAGGTTTGGTCTGCTGGGGTTGGATTCCTTGCAGAAAGTCCCTCACAGAAGTTGGCTTTGCTTGTGTAGCAGACAGGTGTGTCCAGAGCAATTCAGAATCTAGCCCTGCCCTACTTCAGAGAGAGAAGGCGACAGAGCCTCGCAGGCAGGAGCACAGTCTTCCAGCTTGACCTTGAATGTCCTAGAGCGGATGGCCTTTGTGAGTCTGTTGGAGAGCACAGGAGGGGAGATGCGCACAGCAGGGAGGGGATTCGGCATGGGATGCCGCCTTTTTTCACGTCTGATTTTAAACCTCTAATAGAAAAAAGTAGACGTTGCACATTGCAAAGGGTTATTTTTCATCGAGTAAAGAGAATTGTATCTAGGTGTGATTGGAAGGTAGTTTCCATTTTGTTTGGAAGGCAATTCCGTGTCTTGTAGTTAAGCAGAAATGTCTAAAGTTATAGCTTCAAGTTCATCCCAATACAGCACAGGAACTCTCCAGAGTCCTGAGTTTAATCCTTGTCTGTTAGTCAGACACTCCCAAACATCCCATCTGCTGAGTCAGAGACAAGAGAGGGTGAAAGTGTGTTTGAATCAATGCTTAGTTAGGAAAAGAGTCATAAAAAGCAGTGGGGGTTTATATAATTAGCAATTATTTTCTTAGATTCAACATAAACGTACTTCAGTTATTACTTACAAAATAGTGGACTCAGAGGAGCGATCATTGGGAAATGTGTTTTTATTCACATAGCCAGACATGCATGGCTTTCCTGATCAGTGTGGACCAGAGGAGGGTTGCTTAAGTAAGCTCTCGTTCTGCCTTTTGACATCGCTCTGGTCTCCGTGGGTCACCTCCCTGCAGTCTCTGCTGTTGTTGCTTGTGCTCTCTGCCTGAGCGAATGAGACCATGGGAGACCCATCTTTGTAAGAAAAACCGTGGCAACAGATGGACGTGAATTACCATGGCCTGGGCACGGTGACTCCAGGCGGCCCATCTTCCCTGAGCCAACAGGGTTTGGAGAGATGAAGTGAAATCAAGGTGCAGCAAGCTGCCAAGACGACCAATGGGCTGTTGACTTTGCTGATGCCCCTCACTGGGGCCGTGTTCTTCTGATCAAATAGCCGGTGTCCTGAGAGAGTCGGGAGGTATTTGGAAAGGAAGCTGGGTGACGAGGGAGGGCTTTGCTTTTAGAAACCCTCAAGTCAAAGGCTAGGGCATGTGCTGGGTAACATGCTGTGTTTCTCTATCACCCTGAGCAAGGACTCTCATGTCTTTATCAGTCACGTCTTGACTTTGATGCGGCTTTTCTTACTGAGTAGATTTAAGTCTTCTAGAATTCTTCACGAAGAACCATTACCTAGGAATGATAGTCTGGCTGCAGAGGCCTTACTCCCGTGGGCTCCTCCTGTGCCTCTGCCCTGGTACACACTCTGTAGGATGACCATTTCCCAAGGAAAGAGATGTCTTAAGCTGTGGTTGGTTTGGTCACCGTCCTGTTGATTGGTGACACCGCTACATTTCCCTTTTCCTTTATTGCCGGAGTACATCATAGAATCTCTTCTAATGTAATCTTCACCCCAGTCGCTCTTAATTGAATGCTGCCAACCTCCAGCCACGTCCCGTCAGATGCTCATCTTGTAGAAGGAAGCCTGTCTGGAGCCAGGTGATGCAGCATTAAATCAGGAATGCCCCACCCCTCCCCCTCTCTTGAGAGTCGTCTTCACTTTGGGTACCCTGCCCCAAAGTCCTCAGGGGAATCCATTTGCTATCTGGGGGCTCCCTGATAGTCCCAGAAGCAGCTCAGAGTGACTCTTCATCCGAATGTGCCACCTGCATTTCTGATGAGTTCTGAGACCCAGCCCGGAGGGGTGGGGAAGGCACACAAACCCAATTGCAGTAAGCTGCCTGTGGAGCGCTCCAGCCTGCTGCTAGCCATCAAGGCCTCGGAAGCCCCTGAGGTCTGTCTCCAAGCTCATTTGACCAACGCAGCTGTGACTTCGGCTGTCTGCTGCTGGCAGGTGCCAGTATCAACATCTTGTCCCACTGCCACGAGGAGGATTTCATTTCCACTCCAGGGCAGCTGCCAAGCCCAGCACCAGCACCAACAGAAGGAATTCTCTGGGTTTTCTCTCTTTAACACACTCTGAAACCTCCTTAGTAGTCTCCACTTTCATTTTATAGGGGATGCCAGGAGCCTGACCAGAGACGGACAGTTTCATAGCACTGCTCCCGGCTTAATGCCCTCCCTGTCCAGGCACATAGCTGTGCTGACCTTGACTGGCACTTAGAGTGGACTGGGCTAGCCCTGGGTCTAGGAAGATGCTCAGCTACTGTGTTTCCTGCCAAGCGCTGAAACATGAGCAGTTATTCTCAGGAACTGAGCATGACCAACGCCAACAGATCGACATCTGCCAGGCCAGTGAGCCTACGGAGATTCTCATCTCCATTAATGGTGCCAGACCCCTCCAGCCACCACAGGGGAATAGCCTTTCCATTCCCCATCCTAGGAAGGAAGGGTCAACATCTGTCAACATAGCACACATGGTAGGCAGGTTCTGATGCTGGCTGGACCACCCTTTGGCACAGCAGCTTACCCGCAAAGAACTGGGGCATCTTGGGTTTCTTGGCATTCCCAGAGGGAACACCTATTTCTGTTTTCCTGATAATTGGTGCAATCCTTTAGTTTTACACTTTCTGAATAATACGACTATGGCTCTTGTTTCTCAGTTCCTATCCAGACACAGCAAAGCCAACTGCTCTGAGGGGGGAGGCAAACACACCACCCTCAGTTCGAGCCAGACAGGCTCCCCGGAAGAACCCAGGCCTCAGATGACCAGGAGCTTAGCATACAGGTCCGTCGGTGGGGATGTCATGTTGGTCAGGAGCCTGTGACAAGCATGGCACTGAGGGACACGGGAGTGGCTTTGAGTACAGCAAAAAGCAGGACCCGTTTTGAAATAGTTTTAGCATACAGAATAATGGGTTTCATGATTCTGTTTTCATACACATACATCATTGTGGTATACTTCCTTCATATGCCTCTCTCTTGTCTCCCCATCTCACTGATGCCCTTCGTCTGGCCCCATTTAAATAGCTGAACTCTATGTACAAGGAATCTTGATGCCCATGGGACACAACATAGATCCCAAAGTGAAAGTGAATTAATGTGAAGAATTGGAAAATCTAATGGTTGCTCTGGTATAGGAAACTCAGGTTTGGTTTTGTTTCATAGTAAAGAGTGGTCATCAGAGGGCGCAGAAGACGGTAACCTATGCTTCTAACACATTAGACTAAGATACCATCAGCTCAGACCCCACCCCACCTCCTCACTCAGGCAGGGCTGCACGGTCCAGCAGCATCATCTAGGCATGAGAAGTGCTTGATCTGAGTCTGGGTTTTTACTGTTCGTCTGTGACTGAAGGTATTTCTGGAGGAGGAGGAGGAGAGAGAACGCAAACAAGCTGTAAAAGCAGTTGAGCTCAGCTGCCGTGCTTTTCTGGATTCAGAGAGAGCTGGTGTCCTTGGAGAGTTGAAAGATGGCTTCAGAAACCCCAAATCCAGAGCCTTGCAGCGTTCCTAATTATCTGACTTTCCTCTCTTCTCTCCCACCCAGGGGACAAGGGAAAGCTGCCCATCACACAGCTCGCTTGAGAGAGTTTCCTGTCTTGTGCACATTATCCCTTGATATTGAAATTATTTTCTCTGTTTAATCCAGCTCCTGCTGAGAAGCTGTGTGGGATTTAGGATGCAGGGTTTTCTCTTGTACTTTCCAATGGGGTTGCGTCTTTTATTCCTAACTGGAGGATGTGTCTCAGCTGCTGCTGATCTGGCCCTTGCAAGTTAGTTACAAGTAGAGAGGACTCCAGTTTCTGATGAGGTATTTTCATTGTTCTGACCCAAACAAGGGTCCAGATTCCTCTTCAGAGCCGGGAGGAGGAGAAGAGCAGGTTTGGTTAGGAGGTCTCAGGTTAGGAGAGGCCACCCTGTGTTCACAGTGCTTCCCACACACCGAGGAGGGGGAAATTGCCTTGCTGAGCTGCCGATCTCCAGAGGACAGCCGTTCATCTCCCAGGTTGACCGCCCATCTTCACGCAGCCCTTTGGACCATGCTTCTTGCCAACAGAAGACCACCTACGCGTAGAAGGACAGTTTTCCGTTTGAACTATGGCAGAGGTTCGGTGATGTTTGAATTTTCTGTCTGCCTCTTGCTCAAACCCTACAGAGTGTATGTAGTCCCTTTGGCCCTCCCCACCCCCAATATCCCAATAAACATTCTTTTCTTTTATAAAAAATGGCTTGTATTAATTTTTGTCTCAGTGACAAAGGCCCTGACAGCAGCAGCTTAAGGGGGAAAGGGTTTATCTCAGCCCACAGTTTGAGGGCACAGTCCTCACAGAGAAGAGCAAGGTGAGAGACCATGGGACTGTAATTCCTCACATCGCAATAGGCCAGAAAACTCAGACTGGAAGTGGGGCCGGACCATAGCCCTCAAGGTCCACCATCCTGCAGCAGCCTATGTCCTTCAGGGAAACCCTGCCTCCTAAAAGTTAAAGAACCTTCTGAAATAGTGTGACCAATTGGGGACTCCAGTTCAAAGACTTAAACCTATGAGGAACATGTTACGTTCAAACCGTCACATGGGTGCTTTGATATCTTTTGTTTATACCTTAATTTTTAAAAAGTGATGTTATAAAAAATTCTTTTTGAAACAGGGTCTCACTGTGTAGCCCTGGCTGGCCAGGAACTCGCTATGTAGACCAGGCTGGCCTCTACTCAGATATGCCTGCCTCTTCTCTCTAATGCTGGCATTGGTGGTGTCCAACAGCACACCCAGGAGGATGTTGAAAATTTACAGAGCTCTGCAAGACAGAAATGTTGATCTGGTGTTTGGGCTGGCAGATCATAAAGGGTACAATATACTTGACACAAAGCCTTGTGCCTTGCTTCCCAACTTGGACACTCCTGGCCTGTGTGACAAGATAGTTACTAGGCAAGAGAAAGTAGGTCAGGTCCTGGGCATTGTCAATATTTGGTAACATCCCTGTGTAGCACAAATAGTGAAAACCCAGAGATGAAGATACTGGGGTTCAACCCAAAAGCCATAAAAGAAAAGCAGCCAGTCACTAGAGAAGTCTTAACCTCTACCAAGGCTGTGTAACTACAGACTAAGACAAAGCAGATAAAGCCTCTCTCTGCTCCCTTTTATAGTCCCCTTAGTGCTATAGTTAAAGGCAAAACTCCCTGGTACTGGGATTAAAGGTGTGAGCCACCACCACCTGGATTTGTTTCTGCATTGATCTTGTGTAGCCCAGGCTGGCCTTGAACTCACAAGAGATCCACGTGCCTCTGTCTCCCAAATCCTGGGATTAAAGGTGTGTACCACCACTGCCTGACCTCTAGTGGTTTAGTTTTGCCCTTATGATATTTAGGAAAACTTTATTTATTAAAACGTAAATAAAATATCATATCCCTGGGCAACCCCAGCCTTCAAATATTTCTCAACATTGCCAAATGCTTACTTGGATGGGCCAGCATCACCCCTAGCTGGAAGCTGCTGTTTTATACACAATCTAATGTCTCCTGTGAGAATTCTAAGAGGAATTTGTTAGGCTTAGTGTAGGGGCCACAGCTGACATTTATTTTCTGTCTGTTAAAGGCAATTTTATTTATTTTCATTTTTTTATTCATTTCTCATACCGATCACAGTTCCCCCTCCCTCCCCTCCTCCTGCTCTCCCTCCACGCCATCTCCCATCCACTCCTCAGGAAGGGTAAGGCCTCTCATGGGGAGTCCATGAAGTAAAGGCAGTTGTATAATCCCATTATTGAGTTGGTAGATTCTCTGTTTACCATCCTATGCACCGAATGATCCATGTAGATTTAAAGATAATATGTTTATAAAAGGTTACAGCTTAGAATGGGGTTATGATGTGGGGTTCCCTTCTGCATGCTGTGAATACCATTGGTTAAGAAAGGACTGTCTTGGGCCTGCACAGGGCAGAACAGTGGTGGTGGGGGGGAAATAAACTGAATGCTGGGAGAAAGAAGGCAGAGTCAGTGAGAAGCCATGGAGCCGCTGCCAAAAGACAGATGTGCTGAACCTTGCTGGTAGGCCACAAGTCTCATGGTAAAATATAAACTAATAGAAATGGGTCAACCAAAAATATAAGAGCTAGCTAGCAATACGTGTAAATGATTGGCCAAGCAGTGATTCAAATATTACAGTTTCTGCAGCTTCTGTTTGGTTATTTCATGGTCTGGGCAGCCCGGAACGAACAAGCAGCTTCCTATAACAGGTTTGTTGTTTTTTTTTTTTTTTATTTCTAGCACGGAGGTCAGTGCCTGGCCAAGAAAGTCACTTATGGCCCCAGATTTCTCTCTGTGTTAGGAGCTGAAGACAGCTACTCCATAGTGCTCCCATCTCCCTGGTGGGGTGGCTGTCACTTGTGTCCTCCATCATGACTCAATAGGGCAGAATGTTTAGACACAGGCACCATAATGAAGTTCCCCACTGTTGTGTGGAAAGAAGATTCACTCTCTTTATAGTCTGAGGAAAGCGAGACCTGGGTTCCGTGTGACACAGAGGTGTTTCGTTGAGGCTTCCGTGGGACCACTTTAGTAGCTTACACTAGTTATTATGGACTTCGCTACAGCATTTTCATACATGTATATAATACACATCTGTCACGTTCACACCCCCCCCCCGTTAGCCTCTCAAGTCCCCCTCCCGCTCCTACTGACCCCCCACTTTCATGCCATCTCTTCTTTCCCCTCAATGAGTTTAATTAGCTCTGCTTACAGGAGGCTGGGTCAGGCTATTTCCAGAAGCCAGGACACTTTGCCAGTAGCTACACTACCGAAGAAGATGTCTGCTTTTCTCAGCAACCATTAGCTATGTATAAGCCTTTGGGGTATTTAGGACTTTCTGAGCCTCTTCTGTGTTCTTGACAGGATGTTGACAAGACCAGTCTTGTCCAGGTCCTGCGACGGTACAGCTGCTCTAAACTTGAGGGTGTAAGAGCCAGACCGTGCTCAGAAATCAACATCCCACAACGATCTGCCCCTTCCCGCTCTTCTGCCCTTCCTTCTGCCCTCTCCTCTGTCGTGTTCCATGAGCCCTGGAGAGGGTATCCCATCAGGGCTAAGCATCCAACTACCATGTAGCTCAGCACTTCAATTGTGTATGAGTCTGCCCGTTCAAAAACGAAGCTTTGCTCACCAACAGTGCTTAGGAAGCATAAGGATACGCATTCAGAAGGCTGTCTGATGGCCATATCATGTCCACCTAGCAGAACAGAGCAATGGCTTCTCCACTGTGGACTATGACACCCTCAGTGATTTTGTGCTTTTTTTTTGATTTGTTTATCCAGTTTGGCTTCCCTTGCCTTGCTTCCTGGGTCTGCTTCCAAATAGCCAAGTTCGGGTTGATAACATCCAGACCTTTCAGAGTTTCTGGGTCAGTATGCAGTGAAAGTTTGCAAGCCTTCAGACATGGATAACAAAAGCCGTAGCTCCGAGGTTCTGGCTTCTGGGGAGAAGGACACGGACAAAATGACTTCTGCCTGCTCAGGGCTACAGAGGTGGGCAGAGGTCGGGCGTTCCCAGCAGCAGAAGCAAGGAGAGCAGCCGGCAATGCAATATGGCACCTGGGGACCTTTGGGTCCTTCACCTGTGCCCTCCGTTCACATTCTAACCATCTTCTGAGTACAGCCAAGTCCCCAAGACGCTGTGATAGAAGTTTTAGGAGCTGGAATGGGAAATGTCTAATAAAACCCTCAGAGAAATGCCAAGAAAGCAAATAAAAATTGTGACAGGAACAAGATACAAGACTGCCTGTGTTGGTGATATAAATAAAGCACAAACGAAAACACACAGAGTGGGAGTAGCCATAAAAGTCCCATAAACCATGGTGAACACCGCACTGAGGGGCTTCAACCTCACAAAAGGTTTCCCCATGCAGGCTGGCTGAGAAGGGAGTCGCCATGGTTAAAAAGTGAAGTGAGCTTTGGCCTCTGATTGCTCAGGTGCGTACATAAACAGAATAAATTTTATCTCCTCCTTAAAGAGAATTTTAAACGTGTGTGTGAAAATTTGCACATGCCTTGTGTGGGAGAATTGTCTGTATTCTGTCAATCATGTATTTTAATAAAATGCTGATTGGCCAGGCAGGCAGGTAGGATAGGCGGGAAAGCCAGACAGGAAGTAGAGGTGGAGCAAAGAGACTGGGAGTATTCTGGGAAGCAGGAAGCTCCCTCTGCAGTTCTGCCCAGACCACCAGAGAGGAAAGATGTAGGCTGCCCCGCTGGAAAAGGTACTGAGCCATGTGGCTAACGTAAATAAGGATAATGGGGTAACATAAGTTATAAGAGCTAATAAGTAGCCTGACCTAATGGGCCAATCAGTTTATAACCTTATGGAGTCTTGTGTGTGATTTTCTTTGGGACTTGCTGGCTGTGGGGTACTGGGCGGGATGGAAACCCCTACAAGCCGGCCCCTCATATTACACATGCCCATGTATGTCGCCGTGTGCATGGAGGCCAGAAGAGAGTGCCATGTCCTTTGAAACTGGAGCTGCAGGTCTTTGCCGGGACAGCTGGCTCACTGTGCGTGGTTACTGGGACCCAGATTCTGGTGTCCATGGATGTGTAGTGAGGGCTCTTAGCCATGGGATAGCTTCACCATTGCAGCCTCAGAAACTCCTTTCTGGAAACGTCCTAATTTAAAATTCACGCCGCCTGGAGTCACAGTCCCCCTGCAAGGATTCCATCCCTGATTCTTCTGCAGCATGCCCAAATCCACACAGATGTGTCTTCTACCGCAGAGTGATTTATAGTGGCAAACAACTTGGGAAGACCAGACAAAGGAATGCTACACAATCATTTTCTTATTTTTATTATTTTTAATTTTTTGACAATTTCATACATGTGTCCAATATGTTTTGACCAGATTCACCCCCTTGCCCTTCCTTGCCTCCCTCCCCCGCTGAACCGCCTATTTCCAACCAGCTCTAACCTACTTTCTTTTTTCCCCTACTTCATGTCTTATTTTATTTATATTTTTATGATCCACTGGATTTTCTTAAGATTGGTTCCATGAGCATGAGCGGGGGTGGGGGGTGGGGGTGCTGTTTACCGGAGTCTGGGTGACTCACCCATGGCTTACCATGAGGAAGATAACGGCTGATCCCCTGCAACCTGCTAACTTGTGCAGCTACTTTTAAAGGGTAGATTTAAATAGACTAAAAATGAAAGTCACTATGATG